ATCTTTAATATGTGATACATGAAAATACTACATCTAAGGATATTAATTTTTAAAAATTTTATTTATGCATATAAGAGCTGGGGTATACAGGCCAGAGATATAGGAAGGTGAGAGGATTTACCAGAGACAGAGTGGGCAGCAGAACAGGCAGATTGACTGAAATACACTGCTGAGGGGAACAGCGGGCAAGACAGGAGAGGTCTGTCGTGCCGTGTGGGCCAGCCCCTGCGCCCCTGGCCAGGCCAGGATGGAGCTCGTGCTGCAGTGGCTGCAGAAGCTTGATAGCACTGTGTCTTTAATCCCCAGGGTTAATGCCCCCTCCCCGCCCCCGCCAATGTTAATTCTTTTAAGGCTTCTGGTATATCTTGCCAGATATACCAGAAAGATCATTCCAGTACATATCCCATGTATATCGTATAAAATTATACAACATCTGTCAGTTAGACCTTTGCTAGCAGTACATATTATGGTTAAAAACAAGCATTAAACCTCTTTATAATGTGATTAGTTTAAAATGGTCCACATCTTCAGATGCATTTCTTTGATACAAAGTGTAAATGATTTACAGATTTTTTTTTTTTGTTGAGGTGTTGGTATTTTTCTTATTAATTAAAAAAATATATTATCACTTAAAGCTATTCACCTGCCAGGCTCAATATCAGAGAACATTCATCCTTGTAGGCATACAGATGATGAGTTGACCTGCTCAGAAGACAGAGTGGCAATTCACCCAAATCCTGAGAGCTGGTATGGTATTGCCTTGACCAAGTTATTATGACATACCAGAGAGATAGCAAAACAGAAGGGACTTGAGACATCTCATTGCTCATTGATCAATCTAGCATCTACTGTATCATAAGGGAATGTAGAAGAAAAACATAATTGTCTGCCAAGCCAAATGAGTTGAATCAACAATCAGTAGCTCACCAGATGGGGCAGTTAAAGCTTTTTTACATCCTATTTCATCATTGTCAGCAATTTGACATGTGGGAACCAATGTAAATGTTTTAATTCATAATGGTTTCCTTCCCACACAAAACTATAGATCAATGGCCTCAAATACTTCAAAGGCCAAATATTAGCAAAGTCTCTTATTAGCCTTTATTAAGATGTAGGCATGACTGTTGTGCTGCTTTCCTGGTTGAGACTCAGATCAATAGCCTACAACATAGCTCTCTTTGCACAGCCCTGAACCTACATCTCTGAACCTTTATCACCATCCCCATTAACCAGACTGCCTCACCTAGATGTTTTACCCACTGTTATTGCTGAGCATTCCAGTTCATTTTCCTCTGCCTGGAACATCATCTCACACTTACAGGGCCACTCCTCACTTCATTCAGGTCACCTAAAATATCATTTCTTCAGATCATTCTTGGTCACTCTTCTTAAAAAAGCAGCCTCTGTCACTCTGAACTCACTGCTTTGTTATTCCCTGTAGCACTTTTTCTGACATTGTATTCATGTACAAATTCTAATTTTTTTTATTCTCTCCTTGATAGAATGTAAGCCCTGTGAGGGCAGTAACATTTATTTATTGTTTTCAATGTTTCCCACCTTGAACAGTATGTGACACAGTGGATATGCAACAGGTGGTGGCTTTAAAATACTCAAACGTGAATACCACAGTTAACACAAGTCTAGAAAAAAAAAACAAAACCAACTGCCTTCTTCCCCAAAGTAAAATAACTCAGTCCATTGCTGAGGACTCATGATACCATGATAGAAAAATGACTTTTAATTCAATCTGCAAGGAACCATGCAAGAAGGAAAAATATGTAAAGTTTGCTAGTATTTAATGAGATTTTGGTGTGTCTTATCTTTCACATGGGTTAGCTGATTAATTCTTATTGAAAAACTTTGAGGTAGGCATAATGTCCATTATCACAGATAAGTACACTGACACTCTGTTTTTGTACCATGTACTGGTACATGGTACAAGGATCTCAGCTCCTTCAGACTCCAATAGCCACGCTTTTCCCTACTATGTACTCTCCATAGGGCATTATTAGTGATGCTTAACAAACATCCAATCAGCAGTACAGCTCCTGGGAGATGCAACTTATTCCTAGGTTTTGTGCTGTTCATCCAGCCTGGCAAGCGACGGCTTACAATAAAGCTTTAAAGATGAGACATTTGTGCCCTTCCCCTAGAAATTAGAACCCTCTACATCTTATGTTGCAGTGGATGCTGACTTATCTTACAAAGATTGTAGAGCTGCTGGAGTTTTAGAAAAAGAATAGCTGTCTAATGAGGAAGATTAAATAATTACAAGCATCCACGATACCATGAGAGACTATAAATAGGGGAAACTGGTTTCTTCAGATTAAAAGATTTTTATTTGAAGATGTCTATCGTTTAAGCTGAGATTTGAAGGATGAATAGAAGTTAATTAGGCAGCGATTGGAGGCAAGAAACATTTCAGGAAACTCACAAAGCATGTGAGGTCTTGTTTAAAGGTAGGATGGTAAACATGAAGGACTTTGAAAGAGGCCAGTGTGGCTGGCGAGCTGGGAGTAGTAAAGCCGTGGCCTCAGGTTGGGCCCAGTATTAGGAACTAGAGCTACAGGGAATTGCACCTTCTCAGTCCGGCTCTAGATTTCTAGGGTACTATAGCAACTCTATCCTGGAAACAGAACTTTGAGGCAGAGAGGTTTTTTTTCCTCAGCAGAGAGGGAAAAGAGGAGATAATACCTATGATTTGTAACAACACCAAGGAGCTCTCTTTACTCACTACCCAGGTTGACATGGAGAAGTAACATTTGTGATCCTTCCTTTCCGAGTGCCATATCCTACTGTGGAAGAGAATACTGTTTTGGGAGTCCACTGAATTCAATTCTTTATTATCTGTTAAGTTCCTCATCTATTAAATGGGCTAGAATATTGTTTTCAGGGTTCTTATGAGAATTAAATGAGATTAATGTTAAAACACTTTAAAAATGCTTGCTTAAGCTATAGCCAGCCTCTGTGGCCTGAGTTCAAATACCCAGAAGGAGCTAACCCACATGATACAGAGAGGGACCAGTGATTCTCCTGTCTCACCTACTGTTCCCCACAGCAGTGTATTTCATTGGATCTACCTGTTCTGCTCTTCACCCTGTCTCTGGTGAATCCTCTCACAAACCCCCTGCCCCTGCACTTCTGGCCTTTACCCCAGTTCTTATATGCATAAGTAAATAAAAATAAATCTTAAAAAAAATATTCTTGCTTAGCTCACACAGGTATTTCAATAGATAGTACTTATTGAAGTCAGTTTTGGAGATGTTGGGTTCTGAGAGTGGGGTCGTTAGGTTGACTCTAAGAAAGTTTCACCATCTCCTTTCAGTGGCACCAGTGAGATTCCCAGGTGAGATTCTCCATGGGACAGAGGTCTAAGTTTTATTCAAAAGGGCAGGTTTATTATAAAAGGGAAGTGTAAAGAATGCATGCACGGACACAGTGGGCAGAAAGAACTTCCCCTGAAAGGGACAGATTGGCTAAAAGAGAGGGCTGCATAGTTACAGATGGGCAGCCTTAGGAGGAGAGCTGCTTTGCAAAGGGAGAATGCCAGTGAAGAAAAGCACTGGCATGGTTGCAGGTCAAGGGCGGGCAGGAGGGCCGCTGTCCTGCAGAGGGAGATAGTTGGTGGCCAGGAGTTTCTGCACAGGCACAGGCAGGCAGAGGGTTGCTGGTCCTGTTCTACAAAAGGAAAAGTTTAGAAAAGAGAAACTCTTGCATAGACACAAGTGGGCAGAAGGACTGCTGTCCTAGACCAGTGCAGAAATTGCACTGATACATAGTGTTCTCCTTGGGAGGGGCTCATTCCTTTCTGGAGTTGTTAACTTTTTTTGAATAACTATGCAGAATTTTGTTGAATATCTGTGCAAAATAACTGCAGAATCTCTGAGGACCAGAGATTCTCTAATGGTCCTCAATCTCCAAGTTCTCTCTTCTTTGAAAGGGGTTCATCCCCTCATTTGATGTCACTGGGTTGATTTGTGAGGACCAGTGATTCTCTACAATGGCCTTCAATCTCCATTCCCCGGCCTATGATACTCTTCTGTAGCAGCCTGATACTTGTTACAGCCATTGGTGCCTAAGGAGTACTCATTTTAATAGCTGGCTTAACAACTATGCTAATCACTTCTGTCCCCATCTTCAGCTTCCAACATTATATTAGCCAGGTTTCTGGTCTTGTGATGCCTCCTCTCCAACTTTTCTACTTAACTATCACTTATTAATCATCTTCATGTGTAAATTAAAAAAAACCAAAAAAACATGTTTTTTTGGTCTTCTGTGATTAGCTTATATATGTGGACAAGGGAGGTCCTCTGCCTAGTCTTATTTCTACTTTTAAGAGCCAGCAACCACCTCTTCCTTTCTCAAAGCTCCCCCCCCCCTTTTTAAGATTTATTTATGCATACAGAGCTGGGATGTAGGCCAGAGGTGCAGGGGCTGAGAGGATTCACCAGAGACAGGTTGGGGAGCAGATCCACGAGGTACACTGCTGAGGGGCACAGGGAGTGGGTCAGAGGAGGTCTGCCATGCCATGTGGGTCACCTCCAGAGCCCAGGATCGAACTCAGGCTGCAGTGGCTGTGACATGCTGCAGTGGCTGTGATAGCTTCATAGTGCTGTGCTTTAATCCCTTGTGCCGCCAGGGAGGGCTCCCCTTCCTAATGCTTCTTAGGAAAGGTAGGCCATTGCCTTCTCCAGCTGCCTGGTGCAGTGGGAGAGGCATGTGCCTTCTTTTAAAAGTGATCTGTCACATTTCTGTTAATAGTTACCTTTCCATTTGAGTATCTTTGGCTCACACCTGGCTGAGGACGCCCTGCAGGAGCAGGCGCACCCATCCCATTAGGCTCTGCCTGGGCCTGCCTGCAGCGTTGCCCGCCCGCAGTTAAGTGAAAAGCTGGGTCCTGGCGCAGCGTGGCGCGGCGGGCCAATCAGAAGAAGTTTGGCCCTCTGCAGTTTCCGTCCGCTCACTAGGAGGCGCTGCGGCGGCCGCCGTGGCTCCCGGGGCTGTCGCGGGGTAGGGCGGTTGGCGTGGTGGTGAGGCTCACGGGCATGGAACGGGGTTCAGAGTCGGCGGCCGTGAGGCGGCACCGCATCGGAGGGGAGCGTCGAGATGGCTCGGCGGCCGCAACACAACAGGAGAAGGAGGCCCTGAAGCAGGAGTCTTTGGTGGACTTGGTCAGCGCCGGCGCCAAGACGCGGAAGCGCAGCTCTGGGCAGAGTGGCGGTGCGAGTCGCGGCGCGGGGACTGGACTGTCGGAGGCGCGCGCGGCGCTGGGGCTGGCACTCTACCTACTCGTGCTGCGGTCTCTCGTGCAGCTCTCGCTGCAGCAGCTTGTTTTACGCGGGAGCTCTGGGGACCCCGGGGAATTTGACGCACGCCAAGCCAGGTACCAGCGACTCCCTCTGGGGCCTGCGCTTCCCAAATTGCGGCCCCTACCGGGCGGGGGCACCACACCTGTCAGCACCTGTCCTGGCGGGACCGCCAGGGCTCGCGGGCTCCACTGGCTGCATGTGGGATGGGGTGGCCTTGCGCGCCCCTCATAGGCATCTGCGTCCCCTTTTTCCAGAATGCGCTGTGGTGCAGATGGGGATGGTCAGGGGGATTGCACCTCTTTTCTTACTTCCATTCTGCCCACCTGCACATAGTAGGTTGGTGGATGTCCTCCTGTCTTCTGGAACAACTTTCATTTTTTACCTTGGCTAGCCTTTCCGCTTTCCAAACGAAATGGAGAGTGAAATTTGTTAGCAGGGACTGTTATAAATTCGGTGTTGGGGGAGGGGTCGGATGTGGATTATACAGTGGTCTAATTTTTAGGGTTATCAGTTTTCTAACTTGAAAGCTATTGATTCTTCTTTCAAGATTGTACTTTGAGAAGCTTTCGAGCTCAGTTCTCAGATTCCAAGCTTGTCCGTGGGGCCCTGGTGTGTAAGGTTTGATTTTTTCTTAAAACTAAAACACACATACACACACTTTTAAGTATGTTAGAAAAGGTGATTAAGTCAAAGATGTAGTCAAAGCGTGTCAAAGTTTGTAACATCTTAAGTTAGCATAGAGAGTCACCGTGTTTTGTCAACAGCGCTGTGTATTAAAAACTCTTTTGAATAAGGAGTATGGGAAGTTTTTTTCCTTAGGATTTTCTGGAGTATACTTCCAACCCCCTTTTTTCCTACTTGGAATGCAGTGAAGATGAAAAAAAAATTGTTTTGGGAGTAGACTTGATTTTGGCCTGAATTGAAGTTATTCAGCCCTGTCTGCACACAGGAGGCCTGAGTCCATTCACAATCAAACATGTTTCTTTGCTTTTTTAACCTCTTGACTTAGTTGTCTTTGCTCTTTGATTTCTGCTACTTAGAATCAGTAACCCTCAGGAGTTTGGTACAATGAAATTGTTTTCTGTTCTACAGTACAGATTTTATTCTACAGTACAGATTTTACTATAATCCATAATCTTTGTGTTGGTTTTGGGGATTAAGAGGAGTTGGGAATGGGGTGGGTAGAGAAAACTCTGAAGGGATAAATTCATGGGAGGCAAAATAAAATGGTAGAATTTTATAAGTGGTTTTCACAGAGAGCCTGAAACAATAAAAGCAGCCTTTTTTTATGTGAGAAGCCAAAGAACTTCTTTGAGGGGAGGGAGAGAAGGATATAGAGGAAAAGCTACTCTGTGCTGTTGGTTTCTAGGTTAGCATGACTTGTCATCATATTCATTTGATTGTTTCCAGGGATTATCTTGAACACATTACATCCATTGGCCCTAGGACTACAGGAAGTCCAGAAAATGAAATTCTGACTGTGCAGTACATTTTGGAACAGATCAAACTGATTGAAGTTCAAAGCAGTAGCCTTCACAAGATTTCAGTAGATGTACAGCGACCCACCGGGTCCTTTAGCATTGACTTCTTAGGAGGTTTTACAAGCTACTATGACAACATCACCAATGTTGTGGTAAAACTGGAACCCAGAGTTGGAGCCCAGCATGGTGTCCTGGCTAATTGTCATTTTGACTCAGTTGCAAACTCACCAGGTATGTACCGGTTTTTAGTGGTTTTTGATCATCATTGTCCAGAAAGTTTATTAACTTTGACCAAGTCAAGCTGTCTGGGCAATTGTGAAGCAATTTATCATTTAGTTTCTTACTTTAAGTATTATCTCAAATGCTTTATTTATTTTTTTAATGTATTAGTGTCAACAATCTTTGATGGACATGAAGTGTTTCTGGTAGACTGAGTAGCATTACCAGTATGTATTTCTGAGTCCCAGAGTTAGGTTTTGCCACTTCAGGTGTTTACTCATTTAGCTAGGTGTTATAATAAGCATTGGGAATATGTGAGTCCTTGCCTTTAAGGGACACATGGTTTAGAGGTCAACTTGCCTAGTAGTTTCTGTTGACCTATAAAGGAAGAATTTTGTTTCCATAGTGACATCAAATTTATAGTGTCTCATTAATCCACAAATCTTGCTCTGAAAATACCAAAATTGACTATTTTCTGCTCAGTACAGTTATTTTTAACAAGAGCTTGTCAGTTGCATTTTATGTGTAATACCTTTTTAAAAAATCACTATACATACGTCTTTTTATAACATAAAGTCAGCAGTAACTTTGTGTGCTAGGTAAACCAGTGACTTTTTTATGTCTATTTCAAAGCAGTAATGATATAAATGTTATCCTATGCTCACTTTTATGATGTTTAAAATCTAAGAAAGAACATATTAACACTATGACTATTTACGAGCATTATATAAGAAAGATGTATATACAAATATCAGGAATATAGTGCCAAATATTACACATCACATATAAGGAGTCCAGTAACTGAAGGATGACTTTTTCTGGGGTAATTGGAACCCACTTTTAACTAAAATTTTATAAGAAAATGCCTGTACAAATCATTTCAAGGAGATTTCCGTCTATAATAAACTGCTATAAAACACATTCTCTCATCTAAATACTTTTAGTGAATGAACTACTTGAAACATGGGTATTTTTGAAAAGTTCTTGGCAATGTATCTGGAACTCTGAAATGATACCAATTAGGAGTAATGCAATCCACAGAGAGGCCTTAAATATCTTCTTGGGTTTGCTGTGTGGTTACAGGTTGTTGGTAGAAGAGGCATTGAGTTATTTTAGTGGTGGCTTCAATTTCAGGGTTAACTGTAAATGTAAAGGGATGCTGTTTTAACCACAAAATTGTTAAAGATACTTTCCTTCACTTTCTTAAAGATAGTTGATCTTTATTTAGGTCTTTTTTGAGGTAGCAGAACCATTAAATGAGGAAAGATAAATAGATAGCTTAACTTCTTAATACTTTGTAGACATGTATCTTTCAATTCCCCTTTCTCTTTGAATGAAGGAACATTTTATTATTTTAAAGTAACCCAGTCTTAAAAAACCAAATACTTCATTTGGTTTCAGGATAACTACATACTTTTTTATGATAGCTACTATGTACTTCCTGCTTGATAGTAATTGGATAATAATTACTGTTTCACTTTGATTAAAATACAATACCATAATCATAACCAAGGCAAGTATAGTTAATAAGCAGTTTCTCCTTTAGTAGGAGTGAGGTTTGGAATTTAATAGCACCTAAATAAGCATATTAGCTGGTTATGTAGCCTTTTTTAAATTAACTAAAAGGAGAAGGAAAGACTCACATTGAATGCCCACCACATGCAGGCACTGTGCACTATCTTGTAATCCTTCTAGCATACCTGTGAAGTAGATATTATCCTCCCCTTGAGATCAGGAAATAATAGGATAAAGTGACACTCTGTCTCCCAGTATGTACACCCAGAAATACTATTGCCTGGGCTATTTCTGTGTCTGTTTTCTTTGATAGCCCTTCGAACTTTTTTGCAGGAAATTTCAAATATATACAAAAACAGCGTTGTTTAATGAACCCAAATGTACCTATCACTCAGTTTCAACAGTTTGATCTTGTTTCTTCTGTCTCCATTCACCCATCCACTGAATATTCTGAAGCAAGTCTGTTATGTAAGATTCTTCTGAATTTCATCTGTCAATGAAAGATGAGAATTTTTTTTGATGTGTGTAATAACATGAATTGCTACAGCTAAGAAACTGAACAAAAATTCTTTAATATCATCAAATGTGTGGTTAGTCCCCTGAACTACTTTTTAAAAAAATTTGTGTGGGAAGTCCTGAAGTAAAGGCCAGAGGTGTAGGAGTCAGAAGATTCACCAGAGACAGAGTGGAGACCAAAACAGGGTGAATCCACTGAAATACACTGCTGAGGGGAGCAGTGGGAGGCAAGACAGGAGAGTTTTACTGTGCCATGTGGGTCAGCTCCCTGGCAAGGGATTGATCTCAGGCTTTCATGTGGTGATAGTAATGAGACTTAATCCCTAGGCTGTCAGGGAGGCCCCCTCCTATAACTATGTCTTATCGTGTTTTTTTTTTTTTCTTTTTTATGATCACTTTTAATTAATATTCAGTTTCTGAATTAAGAAAGAAGTTAAATGATTTGTGAGGTCCTCTGCTTCATCAGGGGTATTACTTGGGCTTAAGTTTCTTTTCTTCTATATTAGTAGACTAGGTATCTTACTTGTGCTTTTCATCGTACCTTTTCCCTTAGAGAAACCTTAAAAATACTCCATCATTCAAACTGATACCTCTGTAAATCCAGAATCATCTGTAGCTTTTATGATTTTGGCAGAAAAACAAGCACAAAGGAGTCACTGACATTGGGATATGATACAGGAAGCTATGAACACCAGAAGTGTGACTATAATAGACAGTGAGGAATAAGGACAAAAAATAAAACAAATAGCCTTGGGTTCATGAGAATGTTAATTTTCATTATTACATTAGGTCTCATGTGGTTGATTATCCAACAAATATTGAATGACTACTGTGGGCCAGGTATTGTTGCAGCTATTGAGAGAATGTCAGCAAGCAAGCAAACCAGACAAGACCCCTGCCTTATGGAATTTTTTTTTTTTTTTTTTTTTGGTGTGGGTAAAATTGTCCTCTGATGAGAAGACTGTGCTTCTTGAAGCTATTCCTTAATGAGAAATTGCTATTCCTTGAGGTAATTCCAACTATAAAGGTTTTAAAACCTGAGAATCAAGTCTGTTTTTCTGATTTAAAGGTGCCAGCGATGATGCAGTTAGCTGTTCAGTGATGCTGGAAGTCCTTCGTGTCTTATCAACATCTTCTGAAGTTTTACATCATGCTGTCATATTTCTCTTTAATGGTGCTGAGGAAAATGTCTTGCAAGTAAGATGCTAGTTTTAAATACTAAGCTTGAATAATAATAAAATAAAAAATCCATAGCCACTATATTCGCATGTTCAGTATTAAAAACTTTAGATATCTTGACAGTATTGATTAATAAAAGGGCACTGTATGGGCTTCCTTGGGGCACAGAGGTTAAAGTCTCTGTGCTATCAAACTATCAGCAGCCACTGAGTGCAATTCCCCACCAGGGAGGTGACCCCCATGGTGTGGGAGACCTCTCCTGTCTTGCCCACCGCTCCCCTTAGCAGTGTATTAGCAGTGTATGAGATTTCTGCTCCTCACTCTGTCTCTGGTGAATCCTTACCTCTGGCCTAAATCCCAGTTATTGTGTTCATAAATAAAAAGTATTTTTTTATTTTTAAAGGGGGGAATCGGGGGGCACAGTGAAGGCAAATTTTTTCACCTCTGGTTTTCTGTGACCCTAGTTTCAAGGATGTTCTGAGACATGCATATAACATAAATACCCCACCATAAAGATTGCTCAGTTGTTCCTTAGCTGCTATTTTTTGTTCAGTATTTTGCACAGTCTCACACTTAGAAAGGATTTTGTTTGTCACCACTCATGGAAATCAGGCTGCCTTTTGTGACAATGACTTTCCACGGAGAAAACTGCACATAACCATTACGCAGAGAGAGAAAGACACATAGATACCTTTAGATCCTGCCTTTGAAAAAAATTATTGTATTCCTACTCATCAGTATAGACATCTTGTCTTTAGGTAAAATAAAGACTTCAATTAAATTTAAAATTGTTAACCTGTATTTGCTTTTACTTTTAGGCCAGTCATGGTTTCATTACTCAGCACCCTTGGGCCAGCATGATTCGCGCATTTATTAACCTTGAGGCAGCAGGGGTTGGAGGAAAAGAACTTGTGTTCCAAACAGGTATGTGAGCTATGTGTTGTAATTGTCTTACAAAAGTGGAAATTTTTAGAATGTAAATAATCTCTGTAATGAAATGAAGACTCCTTTTAAAGCTTGAGATCATTTTTGTGCAAATTTTTAAAAATACTTATTTGAATGTCATAAGAACAGTAATATGAATTAGTATTTAAGCTCACACTTACTCAATCTGGACATACTAAAATTTCATGGCAGTTCCATAGTATTCTCATGTTCTGCTAGAAAACTGGTTATTATGTTTTAGCCAGAGATGGAGGATTTGGTAGGAGTTACAGTGAGTATCTTGGGTCATGAGTTGGGCTAGGGTAAGTACAGTAATATAGCATCTTGTTTTTTTTTTTTTTTTTAACTTTTTTTTTTTTTAAGATTTATTTATTTGTGCATACAGAGCTGGGGTACAGGCCAGAGGCTCAGGGGCGGTGAGAGGCTTCTCCAGAGACAGAGCGGGAAGCAGAACAGGCAGATACGAAGTACACTGCTGAGGGGAGCAGTGGGCGGGTCAGGAGAGGTCTGCCGTGCCATGTGGTCACCTCCGGGGCAGGCGGGAATCGAACTCATGTGGAAGTGGCTTTAGCTTCTCAGTGCTGTGCTTTAACCCGCTGCGCCACCAGGGAGGGCCAGCATCTTGTTTTTTTTTTTAACCCCATTTATAAACATGTTGTTGTTTAAGTTATGAAGACATACAGAGTATAAAGTATGTCTTCATAATCTAGTATTATGATTTTATATTCTCCTTTCAATTTTTTACACATCTATCATGTATTTTTTTAGGATATATTTTTATTTATTTATGCATACAAGAACTGGGGTGTAGGCCAGAGGTGTGGGAGGGAGGGAGGATTCACCAGAGACAGATTGGGGAGCAGAACCAGCAGATGAACAAACTATACTTGAGGGGAGCAGCGGACAGTCAGGAGAAGTCTGCCATGTCACGTGGGTCACCCCTGTGGCTCGGGATAGAATTCATGCTGTAGTGGCTGCGGCTAATTTTGCACTGCTATCCTTTAACCTGCTGAGCCACCAGGTAAGGCCCAGCCTTCCTTTTCTTTTGGTAAAAAAAAAACTACTTATGTGTATAATAGTGGGGTACAAGTCAGGGTGTGGAGGGTAGGAGGATTCACCAGAGATAGATTGGGAACAGGACAGGAGGATTAGAAGAAATACACTGCTGAGGGGAGCAGTGAGCGAGATAGGAGAGGTTTACAGTACCATGTGGGTCACTGCCCTGGCCAGGGATTGAACTCATTCTGCAGTGACTATGAATTGCTTCATAGTGCTGTGCTTTAATCCACTGTGCCACCAGGGAGGCCCCACAATCATGCTTTTAATTAATTATCTAGCATCCTGCTCCTATTCCCCTGCAGCAAAGGAAAGCTAGTCTTAAGGTTTAGTCTGTACCCTTCCTGAATTTTCCTGTGCATATCCATTAATATTAAATCTATTTTGCATGCATGCATGTTAATATATTTTCCATGTATATAGTCCAGAGAAATTAAAACACATTTACTTAGGGTTGTTGCAGTCTAGACTCCCATCAACTCCTTTATATATGTTTAAAGATTTGTTATTTATGCAAACAAGAACTGGGTACAGACCAAAGGTGCGTGTGTTTGGGTGGAGGGTGGCAAGGGGGTGAGGGAATGGTGAGAGGATTCATCTGAGACAGAAGAGGATTCATCTGAGACAGAGTGGGGAACAGAACAGGCAGATTGACTGAAATACACTGCTGAAGGGAGCAGTGGACAAGACAGGAGAGGTCTGCTGTGCCATGTGGGTCAGCTCGCTGGCTAGAGATTGAAATAATGCTGTAGTGGTTGTGGATAGCTTTATAGTGCCCCTTGCAACACCATGGAGATCCCCACCTTTATATTTATTGAAAACTTACTTTTGCTGCGTCTGACTAGCTTATAATCTGTTCTTTTTAAATGCATATAGCTTTACATAAAAATTCTATGGTTGTGTGCATTTTAGGTATTATTGCGTTATTTGGAAAGATAAAAATCGAATTTTATTAGCAGTCACTTGAAGATGGTAGATATTGGCTGAGTTGAGGATGGGCAGAAGATAAAAGGCCATTTTCATCTCTCCCTTGTGTTACGAATTTAAAACCAGAATTCCCTTTACAACTTTATATTCTTTGTCATTTTCTGTTCTTGTAAAATTTTTGCATTGCATATGATAAAGGAAAAACAGACCTGTTTACTTGTTAGCATTTAATATACACACAGAGAGCTTAAGTGTTTACCATTCTAAATCTCCTTATTTCAAAAAAATTTTTTTTTTCTGGTGGACTGTCTTACAAAAGATTTGAGACTGTGTCCTTTCTCTGAGCCTTTGCAAGTTTTCCCTCTGGGTTTTTGTAGTTCATTCTTGTGGCTTAACTAAATACCTGAAAGTTCTCTGGGCATTTTTTTTTTTTTTTTGACATTTCAGTACCACATGTTTCCTGATACTGCTCTCATTCCAGTTGCTACTTCCTACAAAAGAATAGATGCAGCAGACCTCTCCTATCTTGTGGGGATGGTGAAAAAGCTTGCTGGTGTTGCTGTCATACTTGACTAAAAGAAGATAAAGTTCCTCCTAGATTTGGAGTTCTGCCTGTTGAGCGTATGCTAGATTGCCCTATTCTTCCCTTTTTAATAGGCTCCCTTCTTTTCCTGTGCAGTAACACTTAGCCTGGTAACTTTTCAATTAAAACACTTTGGCTCTCTCTGAAGTTAACAATGGAGCAGCAGGGAGTACATTTACTTGGGAAGTTTTTAGTGACTAAGAACCATTACGGTGTAATTTTTAGAACTAGAATACCTGTCTTAATTTATCAGAGTCAGGAAGCCTTGATACAATTATTTTGAAGGGGTTATAAAAGCCATTATGTTAAAATTTAAACTAATTAAATCAGTAATGTTTGTACTTTAAAAAACTCAATACTACTGACCTTGAGTAGATTATGTGCAAAAAAACAAAGATTTGTTTTGGTGAAAATCTGCCCCTATAAGCCTACCACCCAAGAGCAAATCAGTGTTACAGTCTAGGCTCCATCTTTGATTTTTTTTTTCTATCCATGTAAGTATATATAGCTTTTTCTTACTAAATTGGGATCACATCCTACCTGCTACTTTATAATCTGTTTGAGATTGCATTCTTTGGCCACACTTCCTGTAATTCACCCATTATAAGTGTGAAATTCAATGGTTTTAAAATATTTTGTAATCACTAGAATAAATCTTTAGAGTATGCTTTTTGAGGTTAATGCATGTTTCAGGACATTTCCTTTTTATTACTGAATTTTGTCTATGGATATTGCTAACATCACTTATCTATTTACATAATGGGCATTTGGATTATTTCTACTTTTAGACTGTTAGGAATAATGTTGTTATGAACCTCTGTGTGTAAGCTTGTACATGGGACATGTTTTTTTTTTTTGGGGGGGGGACATGTTTTTCTTTTGGGTAGATACATAAAAATGGAGTTCCTGGGTCATTTGGTAAATTTATGTTTTACCTTTTAAGAAAGTGCCACACTAAAATCTTTAAAAAAAATTTAGTTATGCATGCAAGAATTGGGGTACAGGCCAGGAGTGTCAGGACGAGAGGATTCACCAGAGACAGAGTGGGGAGCAGAACAGGCAGATTTTAGTGAAATACATTGCTGAGGGAAGCAGCGGGCGATCAGGAGATGTCTGCCATGCCATGTGGGTCACCTCTCTGGACAGGGATCTAACTCATGCATAGTGGCTGCAGATAACTTTGTAGTGCTGCACTTTAACCCTTTGGATCACCAGGGAGGGCCCCGAAAATGATTTATAATTATGGTGACTTAAAAACATTTTTTTTCTCATAATTTTTCACTCCCTATGAGGTCATTTCCATGAGCACACAGAAAGGCTTCTTCTCTGTTCTCAAAGATTAGGACCCCCTCATCCTTCCCAGCTACTGCCTCATTTCTCTATTCCATGAAAGAGTAGAGTTCCTTTGCTCTTGTTTTTGAACCAGATCTAGTGTAGCAAGTTCTCTACTTCTCCAGGTTTGCTCTTATAAAAGTCATATTGATAAATTCAGTGGTTATTTCTCAGGGTTCATCTTACTTGACTTCCATAATGACTTTCACTGCTTTCAATCTCCTCGTAGTATTTTTTTTTTCGCGATGTTGATGTTACCAGTGAAAATTAGATGAGGTCAATAGGGGAAGTGATGCTGTGTGTCACTAAGTTGGGTTGCTTCACTAGACTTTTGCAGAAATTTGACCTTTTATTCTTGGCACTGAGGCCTACTTCCCCTTTGTATTATACATGCCCATATACTTGCATTTAGAAAGACATGCTTTAAAAGAAATGGTGCCTATGAAGCTGGAAGCATTATAGACTTTAGAAGATAGCAGGAGGAAGGACGAAGCAAAAATATTTTTGTATCTGCCTATTCTACTTTCTCTGTAAGGCAATTAAGGTAGTAAGACAAAAGCCTTTTTGGGAAGGCAGTCAAGGGTAGAGATTAAGAACACATGCTGTCTAGTCATATGACCCAAGTTTAAATTTAAGATGTAGCAAACCCAGGCTTTTCTACCTTTAGTGAGTCACATAACCATACCAAGCTTCAGTTCTCTTCTGTGAAATTAGGATATTATTATATTATCTATTTATTAGGCTTAATAACCACTGAGTAAAATAACATCTGCAATTTCTCACGTAAGGACTGTTCTTGCCTTATTTCTGTTGTGGAGACTATCTTACTCAGGAGCTGATCTGTCTTCCCCATCCTGTTTTCCCAGTCTTTGTTTTTAAACTAGCACTTGACCTGTCTGCAACCTGTAGGCCTCGGTGGGCAATCTACTCCAGAGACGCTGGAGTAGGACTGGAGCTGCCATACAGCCGTGGGGTTGCTGAAGGATTAAAGGCCAGGTTTCGGGTATTCTCTTTCATGCTCTCATGTCTTCTGTTTTTCTCAACTATTTTTTTATGGTATAATCCATAAAATGAACTTCAA